GACACTTTTTACCGATCAAACTGGACCATTTATTGTGCAATTCCCTAATTTTTTCAAATAAATAATATCATTAATTTAATTTTGACGTATCCGTGTGAATGCTACAAATAACCTTCGCATTTTTTTTTCTAGATATTCCTAAAAATGTGATAACCCCAGACATCCCTTCGCGATCTCTAACGTCGACGGCGGCGCTGCTTGCACTCCAAAAATTCAAAGATGCCTCATTGTAAGTCATTTCAAACTCAAATCTCGCGCCAAAAATACATCTTTTTTTCAATACAGATCGATCACAAGGACATCAGCGGAAACATCGATGAGTAAAAACGTTAATAACAATAACATCAGCGAAGATAATCGGACGGATACGACGATGAAAAGACGAAAAATACACAGATGTGACGTTCATGGATGTAATAAAGTCTACACAAAGAGTTCGCATTTGAAAGCGCATAAGAGGACGCACACAGGTAAAGTAGCTTTTTTAAAGATACTTATGTGTAATTTAACTTTTTTGGTCTAATGGGGAAAAAAGCTAAATCGTAGCGATTCTAAATGTGAACAGGAAGTGAGCAAAAAAATTCAATTATTCTAAATTTAAAACGCGTCTATTATAGCATTTTGGTTTTGTCGTTGCTAAGTTGGTAGCAGGTCAATGACCCACAAATGTCAAACGCCAAAACAAGTTGGCAAAAACATTTTGAATTTTTCATCCAATATATTAATTTTAATACAGGATGTTTAGGCAAAAATATTTCGCCAAAAAACAAATAGGTATTGCTGGGTAAAAGACAGTGAACAAAAAAAGTGTTACTTTATTTATTATTAAATACAGGTCCTTTAATCAACAACATGACCGGAATAATTTAAATAAAATAAATACAGGGTGTGCCAGAACTCGTGCCGCAGAGAAAAATTTCAAGTAAGATAAAATACCAGGAACATGGGAAAAAATGTTTAAAAAATTCTGTTTTAATTTTGTCTTAAAATTTTGCCATTTGACATGTTTTTTATTTTTATGTCTATTTAATGATATTGATGATCTTTTATATGTTTTTTTTATAATTATTTAGTAAAGGTACAAACATTTTGCCAATAAAAGCCACAAATAATATACAGCTTCCTTGTTTCCTCTTCTAATAACCTGTAGCAAAAAAACCTGGAGAATTATTTTTCCAACAAAAATAAACAGAATCGAAATGCAAAATTTAAACTCTCATAACTTCGAAATATTTGTAGATAGAATTTTTTTATAATTTTTTCCATGTTCCCTGGTATCTTACTTTACATAGCATTTTTCTCTGGTCGAAAAACGACCCAATTGGTTAAAAATAATACTGTTTGTTTTTTTACAAGATTTTACTAGAGGATCGAAAATATCAATTTATTTTTGTCTCTTTCGAATAATTTTTCAACTAAAAACACGCAAAATTCGTTAAAAACAACCCAAAAATTTAACAAATTCGACCAAAAACGCCGTTTTTTCAAGTGTTTAAGCACGTTTTTGGGATAAAAACAAAGAAAATTCTAAAAATTTCGTTGAAGCAGACAAAAAAAATATAAAATTAAATCAAAATTGATATTATTTTTGTCTTGTAAGAGAGGCTCATTTATTTTGCAAAACCTTGTCCAAACACACTTAAAAATCACAAAAACAATTGTTATTGATGCTATTTTGTTTGTGTCACTCGATTTAACTGGTTTTCAAGCAAAATTAAGACAAAAATAAGCCGAGAATGTTTTAAAGCACATTTTTGTATTAGAATCTAAGGTTTTTTGCGAGATTTCGCTAAAACGAATTGAAAATTCAACATATTAAACGTAAAATTATATTTTTTTAGAGTTTTAGCATGTTTTTCAGCAAGAGACGGAATTATTTTGCAAAATATGGTTAAAAACAAGCCAAAAAACACAAAATTATGCCGAAAATGATATAATTATTTTCTTTTTCAAAAATTTAAGCAGATTTTTAAGCTGAAAATTGCGTTTTTTTCGCGAGATTTTGCCATACAAATCGTAATCTGGTGAAAATCTGGCAAATTTTTCAACTCGGATCTGGTGAATTTCATGATATTGATCTGGCAACTCTGGCTGTCCCAGCATAGTAACTTTTGAAACTAAAATATACAGAGTGATAAAAAAATTCCTTTTGCTGTTATAAATAATATGTAGATTCTGAACTTGAAAAATTTGTGTAATGAAACATGCAAAGAAAACAATAGAAGGTGACAAAATTATCATGACTTTCAAACAGGTTTTTCTATTCTTGGTCCAAATTTTGAAATATACAGAGTGATGCAAAAAGTGGTTACATATTATTTGTTATTGTATAATTTTGATTTTAAAATATACTTTAGTCTCTTTACTTGTGTGTCAAAAATATGGTCATTGTGACATTTTTTATTTCATTTCTTTCATTTATTTCATTTAAACGTAGTTGTAGAATTATAAATATACAGTGTATCAAAACTAAATTTAGGCTAATCTGAGCCTCTGAAAGTAAATTAAGTTGTCGACGCCTAAACCCAATTTAGAACCGCCTCAATTTTTTATTCTTGTAACAGTCGATTTGTTATTAACTTACGACAAGGTTAATAACATTGAAAGAAACATAATTAATGCACGATCCAGTTGTGGTTATGTCGAGAACAAAACACTCGTTTTTGGTTTATTTCCATGTTTTTTGCCAAAGAGTAAGGCAAATATTTAGCAAAAACTCCACTCCAGGCCTAAACCAAATTTAAATAATTACTTACTCTTTTATAGTCTAGTAATATGTCAAGATTTTCCCATAACGATCACTCCTGATTTACAACGTACAAAAAATCCCAACCAATTAATTACTCGCTTTCAATGACACGAAATTAGATCGATTGTTAAGATTAAAGACAAAACTTGTCAAAACAATATTAACTGGTTTCAAGTGTTAATTTAATCGCGAATTCAACGGCAAAAAATGTAACATAACAATGGCCTCGCGGCCCACATTTATATTTATTTCCATTAGCGAATTTATTTTATGGGATGTTTCACGCGTTTTTATGTGATTTATATACAGCGGCTACTTAATTAAGACATCGATAAAATTAAAACACCCTGTATATAACCGATTTCAAAAATGTGCAATTTTATGCAAATTGAATTATTGTTGCGACGGCGATGCAATTAATCAAAATCGACGAAAGTCATTGTTGAAGAAACATGATGATCAATGATCACGTTATAATTACAATAATCTATATGTTGACAGGAAGTCGTTATTGTCAAAAACAAACCAAATTTCTACTAATAATAATCCTTGAAACTTGACGAAACAAGAATACAAAAAATGTCACAGTTTACACAGTATTTTTGCTAGATTTTTAATCGTTGCCAACCGATTATCTAAGCGACAGGTGTTTAGTCAAAATAATTTATTAGCCGATCTATTTACGAGGCAATTTATTAAAATCTCGAAATAGATATGTCTGTTTACAAAATTTTTGCAATAATTGAGTAATAATTCGATTTTTTTTAGGGGAAAAACCGTACCAGTGTACATGGGACGGTTGTACTTGGAAATTCGCCCGATCCGACGAATTAACTCGCCATTTTCGCAAACATACGGGCCAAAAGCCCTTCAGTTGTAACCAATGTCAGCGTTCTTTCAGCCGATCCGACCATCTATCCCTCCATATGAAAAGACACTAATAAGGCATCTCCCAGCAGAATTGGTGCTAAATTACCCCGAAATTGTAAATAAAATGATTGATTTTGTACATTTGTAAATAAATCCAAACTCAAAGCTGGTGTGAGATTAAAATTGCCAACATTCCTAATTTTAGTTTTAGTTAAAAACAGTAATCGGAACGATGTGCCAGTAGCAAAGGTCAGATTATAGGTTTAAGTCTTCCGGATGTACGACAGGGACGCCCTGTATAAGACAATCCCTACATAAGTGCAATTATAGTTAGTTGGCTTTTATAGATTTAAGTAAATCAATATATTTTGTATAGTATATCAATTTGGACAAGGGGGCGTATTATATTTATATTTTGTAAATAACTCAACGACCCAAGTCCCACACAATCTATTCTATGTATATTTTAGTAAGTTTTTTTTAATGTAATGCCAGTAATAGGGGCCAGTATATTATTTTAGTTGTAATTACATTTTTTATTTACAGATCTCTGTTTATGTAGAGTCTCATTTGTTTTTCTCTATGACTTTGTTTCCTGTTCATTGTATATTATGTTTGGCCCAATTTGAACAAGTCATATGGTAAACAAATGAAACGTTTATGTCATTTCTTTGGTACACACTGTATAGTAGCGTGAGTGACCCTCTGCCACTCACTGGGCATTTTTCAGTCAAGACAATAACAGAATGTTATATTTTATAGATGGGACATATTTATTAATGTTATTATTTTAAGTTGTTTCAATAAAATAAAATATGTGGAAGGGTTATAAGATTTTCACTTACCTGAACCAACCTGAAACAAAATATTACAAATTACTGAAAACTCGTAACCAACAGTAGAAATTAATTACTCAGTTAGTAATTATACTCACTTGAGGGCAATTACACCGAATTAAACCCACAATTTTAGGAAATTAATTCAACTTTGAGAAGAATTTTTCCAACACCACAGCACACTTAGTTCTGCAACAAGACCCAGAATTGTACAAAAATATAACACTAAGGTAAAAGTAACTACTTGAATATTAATTATACTCACTTAAAGGTAATTAAACAAAATTAGGGTCACAATTTAGCAAAATTTATCCGCACCAACTTTGAAACAAATTTTTTCGACACCAGAGGACGCTTTTGACATTTTAAAATTTAACACAGCCGACTTCGCGGTTTTGTCAATACGCAAATTTTGAACTAATTAAAATAAAATTACATCTTTTAATGGTTGTTTTATTGTCCGGCCCGTGTTTACAAAAATTTGGCCAAATTTTGTCAATTTGGTTGCCTAAACTCGTATTTAGAGATGTCGCTACTTTCTAACGTCACATTTGTCAACTGTCAAATGTTTGTTTTTCTAGAAAGTTTACAAATTTAGGGCTTAATTGTTGTAAAAACACAAATAAGGCGTTTTATTTTACGTTAATGTCCTTTTTCAGTGGTGATTATGGCCGAATGTGAGTCTGGTGAGAAGGTATCTCCGAAAAAACCAATTTTGTTTTTGTCTCAAAAAAATTATTTTTAGCCCAAAGTGCAAGTTAAGCACGATTGGTACCAAACGGACGTTGCTGTTGTCATTACAGTACTTATCAAGAACGTCAAGGAGGACAATTTATGCATAAATTTTGCAAAAAATTGTGTCACTGCAAAAATCAAATTTCCAGATCAGGACGATATTGATCTTAAATTTAACGTCTCGCATGATATAGTCCCTGAACAATGCTCATACAAACTAACCCCGTCGAAGGTACGTCCATACAGCCCCCAAACGAATTTAATTAAACCAAACTTTGACAGATTGAGGTTAAGTTGAAAAAAAGCGAAGGCATTAGATGGGCGAAACTGGAAGGGCATGAGGACCTCCCAAAGGCAATACCTGTAGAAGTACCCCAATCGAGCGGCCCCCCGAGCTATCCTACCTCCAAAAAAGGCAAAGACTGGTCCGTTGTGGAGAAAAAAATCAAAGAAGAGGAGGCGAAGGAGAAACCAGAGGGGGAAGAAGCCCTCAATAAGCTGTTCCAGGAGATTTACGGCAAGGGGAGCGACGAGGTTAAACGAGCAATGAATAAGAGTTACGTAAGTTGGATTAATTAGTGTGGAATTAGTGGTAATTTTGAGTTGCAGATGGAGAGTGGGGGGACGGTTCTCAGCACGAATTGGGATGAAATATCAAAGGAGAAGGTTGATGTGAAGCCGCCGGATGGCATGGAGTTCAAGAAATGGTAGTTTTTTTGTATTTAAATAAATTATTGTCAATAAATTGAGTTTCATTGATGGCAACCGGGCCGCCGGTAATACAGGTTTCTCTCCCAAATGTCATTTAATGAGTGGTCGAGTCTTTTAAATGTGAAAAAATAGGCCATAATGGGGTTATATTGTGTGAATATTGATTCATTACGGTGTTGTGTGGGTGTTTGTTATCAGGTTCGTATCAATGTCACACTTTTCGTTCAAAAAATCGGTTCAAATTTTTTTTGAGGTTAGATCATGTCGAGGCTCAATTAATCTCAAATAGCATGCGTTTCCGATAATTTCCCTCTAACAGGCGCTCACTCAAATAAAATTGCTGACGCGTCTCCTTGAAATTAGCCCAAACAAATCGAAATTATGCAATACTACAATAGCCACCAGTACTCCTCGCCTCCGGCCTCATAACCAGTTCTTATTTGTAGTGTGCCACCACAAGAAGTAAATTAAAACACGAGTGAGAATGACGGAAGACAAGGTCTACAGTAGCACACTCTCCTACCCCAAGGAGGAGGTCCAGAAGTGCCTCATCTACCGCCTTTTCGGTAAGTTGCGTAATTAATCGTGCCCTTGACCAGCGGGACAATTCACTTAATCATTGTTTCCTGACGAGGGCCCTCGCAATGTGTTCCGTGTGTAGTAAGTGATTTAGCGCCCCCTTCACGCAATTATTCTCTTGTCTCCAGGCCAAGTACCTGCCCGTCTCGTCCTCTACCTCCTGTCATGGTCCGGTTTCCTCGTGTCTTTCATGATGCGAACCGACATCAACCTCGCCATTATCGCGATGGTCGAGGAGCCCACTTTGAGTGTCACCAACACGACTCAAGAATACTGCTTCACTCTCGACGACGCAAACGCGACAACAGCCCCTTCGGTACGCCCACAACACCCCAAACCCCCAAATAATCGATGTTTTAGGACACGGGGGGCACCCTCAAGTGGTCAGCGAGCGTCCAAAGCTACATTCTCGCCTCGTTCTACTGGGCTTATGTCATTTCGCAAGTGGTAGGAGGCTTGGCAACCCAAAAATTGGGCACTAAGAGGGTTTTCGGATATGCACAGTTGGTGACAGCGTTGTGCAGTTTGAGTATTCCATGGGCTAGTGAGACGCATTATGGGGTTGTCATTGCCTTAAGGTTCGTCCAAGGTTTCGCGTCGGTGAGTTGAAAAAAAGTGACCGAGTTAGCGGTGATAAAATTGTCAAGGCTAACTTGGACAACATTTTTTGAGCTTGATAACGATAATGCAATTGAGATCTGGGGGTCCACTCGAATTCGGAAGACAATGTTTGATAAAAAAAGTGATATAACTTTGTTATACAAATAGTGATTTTATACATTGAAAATTTGAGGCAACGGCTTGGCCAGCAAGAGTTTCAAGACTGGCTTTCTAGAAAAAATATTAAACAGAAATTTTTTAACATTAAACGAAAAAAAGGCACACACTTGAATTTGCAATAACTGAAAAAAATTATTACACAATGGTATTTTTAGGTATTGTATAAGATTCTTGACAGTTTTTTTTAAATTTATTGTCTGGCAAACAGACAAACACGTTTTAAGATAAGTGTTAAGAAAGCTCTTGTGTAATTCTGCAAATCCTATTGAACTTTTATTTCATAAACATTAAAAAAAGTTATACAGGAGATGAGCAACAAGTTTTGTGCCAATGTTTTACTGTGCTGATATACAGGGTGTAACTAAAATATGGAGACAAAAAGTAATCTGAGATTCCCCAAGTCAAAATAAAATGATTTAACCCAACTTATCTCTATATCAAGTTGCACCGTTTAAAAGTTAGACGGCGCCAATGAAAATGTTTTTTTATAATTAATAATTAATTAAGTACATTGTTGTCAACTAACACAAACATCCATAAATAAACTAGAACGTTCGAAATTTTGACACGTCTACTTAAATTATTTTTTACCAAGGCCAAAACAAAAAATTATAAAATACAAATTGTTTAAAAATAATGTACCTTTTCAGCAAAAAAATAATTACATATACAGTCCCCAGATTGCGTTTACAAGAGGAAAAAATATGTTATCTTTGATTTTATGCCAAAACTGCAAAGGAAAAACATTTTTTGCTTTGTCGGAAACAAGCAAATCTGTAATTAAAACTTCATTATTTTAACTCAGTAGAAAGAAAAATTCATGTTTCTGCTGATTTTAGAATAATTTTTCTCTGCTTTTTAAATCCTATCACATTGGCGATTTTATTTATTTTACTTTGACAAATGAGTTTACACAAGTTATATAAAAATGTTTGTGAAAAATATAATTTTAAAAAAAACAACTCAAAGAAACAGCTTTAAGATAAAAACCAGTCATTTTTAACAAAAACTTACATTATAAGCAAAGAAAAATTATTCCAAGTCCATAATCAAGAGAAAAAATAACTTTTCATTTCACCGAATCAGAATATTGAAGTTTTAATTATAGATTTCCTGGTTTCAGGTGAAGAAAAAAATGTTTTTCTTTTGCAGTTTTGGCGTAAAATCAAAAATAAAAAAAAATCCTCTTGTAAACCCAATCTGGGGACATACCATATGTAAACGGCACTACGTATTTCTCGTTTAAAGATAATTTGTTGATCTCGTAAGAACGTAGTGCCTTGAGATAAGTCGTTATTAAAATTATAAATATTATAATAAAAGCGTTATTATGAGGAGTAACAGGTGTGGAAACCTTGAAAAATAACTGATAATCCTTGAACTAATGAAATAATATAGTATATCACGTCTGCGCTACACCCGGTATAATGAGTATTTTTGCCAATCATCACTCATCTAAATTGATAAAGAGACACTTGATAAAATACTGAGTCATATGTCAACATTTTTGGTTTATAGTACAGAGTTCTTTTCCATTAATTATTTATAGATTGTGACAAAATTGTATCACTATGCATTTATTTTTCTGTCCTGTGCGATAAACAAAGCGGTCGCGACAATTCAAATTTTTATGATTACAAATGGTCGGTTTAATGCATTTTTTATTGTAAATCGAACAATGCATCAAATCCGGAAAAAGTCAGTTCATAATTACGACGGAAAATCCCAATCTGCATGCATACAAACATTAATTACGTTGACGCAACCGGAAATGCGTCTTTTCTATCTCCGCCCCTTTTCAGGGCTTGACCTGGCCCGCCATGTACGCCCTCGTCGGTCATTGGATCCCCGTTCCCGAACGTAGCCGTTTCATGTCGAGTTTCCAAGGTAACGCCACAATTTCGTACAAACCCCGCCCACTCACTACATCCCTTGTAGGTTTCAGCATCGGGATTGGTATAACGTACCCTCTGTGCGGTTTTCTTATCGCACATCTTGGATGGAGGTCTGTGTTCTACACCACGGGGTCAATCGGGGTCATTTGGTGCGGGATTTGGTACCTTTTGGCCTTCGATAGTCCCGAAATGCATCCCAGGATTAGTTTGAGCGAACAACAGTATATTAAGGAGAATACCGTGAATACGTATGCGGCGACGAGGACACAGAGTGTGCCCTGGAAGGCCATTCTGACGTCACCGCATGCGTGGGCTATTGGAGTTACGACTTTTGGCCGGATTTGGGTGCACTATACGTTCATTATCCCGGGGCCTAAGTATATGAAGAGTATTCTAGGGTTCAGTATTGAGAAGGTGGGTAATTTTTTTTTTTTTTTTGAAAAACAGCCTGTATATAAATATTTATCTCAGAATGGCCTACTATCCGGCGCTCCGTTTATCTGCAGTTACATCGCATCTGTGTTCTTCTGCTACATTGCCGATAAGTTAGTGACCCGTAATGTCATGTCGTTGACAAATGTCAGAAAATTGATGACAGCTCTATGTAAGTCATTGTATGAATAATACAGACAAATGACAATCGAATTGTAGCTCAAGTGGTTCCTGGACTTTTGGTCCTAGTCATTAGCTACCTCGGATGCGACATAAACCTGGTTTTGGTAGTATGGTTCCTCGCCGTAACCTTAATCACAGCCTCGTATGCCGGCGCTATGGCCAATGTCGTGGATATTGCTCCGAATTTCGCGGGTCCGGTCTTAGCCTTCGCTCAAACCATCCATATGTCGGCAAGTTTCCTAAGCCCTCTAGCGGCCTTCCAGATACTCAACGAGCGCGAAACCATGATGTCGGCGTGGCGGACTGTGTTTTACGTCACGGCTTTCGTCGCCATCTCCACTTATGTGACGTTTCAAATTTGGGGCACGTCTGAAGTGAGTTACAAGTATATTTGTTGAACCGTAATTACAGGTTTCTGTAATAGATCCAACCGTGGAATTACACCAACGGCGAGCCGAATGTTACCGAACAGGAGGAACTAATGACGGAAAATACCGAACGCATTCCGAATGGGAAAATCGACGATCATGTAGCGTAGTTTCGGCACAAGTAACTTAGGAGTTTTCCGATTTTACTCTTTCATATTGTGATAAGTTTAGTCAGGGCCTAGAATAGGGGAAGGGCGTCCCCACCACTCAGCCAAGTGGTGGGGGTGGCCTTGATGCGACAATAGCAACAGTATTGTATATTTTTGTAGGGCATTAATGCACACAATCGAGATTTTATGACCAATTTTCTGTCATAGTGTAGTCTTCAATGCATTTAAAAAATAAATCGTGAGTATTATAAAAGTTTAACAATTCTCATCTCTCTAGTGGTACTTATATATGTTGTTAAATGTGGTGCCAATCGATGTAAGCATTCCTTTTTTATATTTTTTTGCTCTATTTTAAATCGTTGGTTTTATGGAATAATATATTTTTCAACTGAAATTCGTCTATTATTTCAGGTGTGACGCAAACAATGATTAACAATCGGTGAAAATAATTTATTAAGTATTAAAATATAATTCAGATGATTCTTTCATAAAAAAATATTACAATACATTTTCTAACAGTCTGAAACAAATGCAACACACTTATAGAAAAATCGATGAGATTCATAATATACAAAAAAAAAAACGTTACTTATATACAAAGGAAGACTTCAAAATAATTAATAAATAAGATACAAAATTAACGTTAATTGAGCTTAAAATAAACCAAGGAAAAACTTCGATACCATCCCTTTTTAAGCAGTAATCTCGCTAAAACAGACACGTCACGTGACCAACAAAAGACACTACTCGACTTACCTCATCAACTCCCTTCCAGCAATCAGACCCGACCTTGACCTCGATCGGACCAACTGTGCACGCCGTTCCGCTGAAAAAACACAAAATTTTTAAAACGCGGACCGCAGACTAAACACCTCACACATACCCAAGATGTTTTCCTCAAAATAGTCTGATTGTAATCGAATGTTTTTATAGATTTTAGGGTACACCAAAAGTAGATACTCACCACCTGCGGGTCGACACGCCCGTTTCCGTTTCTGCTCCCTGCTGAAGGCACTTCCGGTTTGTAGAGCCTCAAGTAGGCTGTCCATAACGCCCTCTTGCGTCTCTTTCGGGTTCATATCGATCAGCGCCCTCTTCGACGCCTCGCGCTCCATTCGCTCGCGTTCGGCCTTCTCTTTCGCCAATCGCGCCTTCTCTTTCTTTTCCAGAAGCTCTCTCTCTTTGTCGTTGTCTTTTTTGGCCTCCTGTTCCCAACCAAATTTTTCACATTTATTTTTACTTATAAATTACTTACAATAAAACTGTCTTTAAACGTCTTTAAATCCGTGAAAAATTCCTCAAGGGTGTATTTTTGTTTATCGAAAACGTAATATTCGGACAAGTCGGTGTAGAGACTGTCCATTTTTTTGAACATGTTCTGGAGGATGTCGCACTGTTCTCGGGCTTCACTTGCAAATTTCTGTAAAAATTGGATGATTAAAACCGGTTAAACAAACATGATTCAAGTTGACTCCTAACTTCAAATTGAGCCAAATTGATTGAAAATATCACAAATTCCTTTATTTCAGCCTAAAATTGAGATTGAAGCAGTTATTTTTATAAAATACATTAGTTTTGAATTAATTCTGTAGTAAAGTCGAGCAAAATTGGATTGAAAATAGCTCAAATTGCTTTATTTTAGAAGAAAACTCTTACTAAAGCTAGTATTTGGTTGAAATACTTTGATTCAGGTTGATTCCCAACTTCAAATTGAGCCAAATCGATTGAAAATATTACAAATTGCTTTATTTATCCTAAAATTGGGATTGAAGCAGTTATTTTTATAAAATACATTAGTTTTGAATTAATTCTGTATTAAAAAAAAAAAACAAAAAAACAAAGTGCAAACTCACCTCCATAACCTCTAAAAATTTATCATCACTGCTTTGAGGCACTCGATTGTTGTTGATGTCGGTTTGTAGGTTACGTATATTACTGTCCATTTGTTTTAACGTCTTTTGTATTGTGTCTAACGACACTCTACTTGCTCTACAATCCCAAAAAATTACACAGTTATAGAAAAAATTACACATGTATTACTTGTCAATATGTTGCATTTCGTCGTAGAAATTCAACAATTCTGGAAATTTCGTCTCGACCGTTTCCACGATATAATGCAGAAGCGTTTGTTTATTATGTATGTCTTTTGTGCCTGTCAACTGTCAAAAAATTATTCATGTTTACGTATTAACCAATCAGAAGCTTACTTTTGTTAAGAAACTCATTTCGAAACCGAACGCCTGCGCATTGCGACTCCCCGAATTCATATAATTGCCTAAAAGTAATATAAGTTCGAGGATACGTGCGAATTTTTTGCTCTTCTTCACTTCCTCACACGCGGCTGTTGCTGCTACAATATCCTTTAAAAAAATGATTACTCGAGTTACATAATATTTTTCTTTCCTACTCACGGGTTTCGTATCGTTGACCATTTCGACGTAATGGTGCTTGAAACTGATCGATTTCAATCTCGGCAAAAGTCGTTTAACTTCGGATATTTTGATACAAAACTGTTCAGCTTCGGTAAGTTGGTCGTACTTATCTTTGTATTGTTGTAATTTTGATAATTGGTCAGGGGGAGGTAAGTACTGTATTAATTGCTCGGTTACGTTCTCGGTAAGTACTTTATCGTCGCAACGTAGCAAACATTTTGTTATCTCATCGTAAGACATGTGTTTCAGCGAACCGTTGAGTAAAATCAATATGTTTTGTGCTGTTTTCCCATCCAAAACTTTCATTTCTTTGACTTTTTTCAACGTTCCAGTGTTGGCACTACTGCTATCTGACACATCCTCCAAATTTCTCGCCGGTTTTGAGCTAAATTTCTTCGCTAAACCGTCTAAAATATCGGGCGTGGCCAATTGCTCCTCCTTCACTTGTACCCAAAACGCCTTCTCTGACATCTTTTGCGGCAAAATCTACCAATCAAAATCATTTTAACCATCACATGACCCTCAACCAACCAACCACAAACCGTTTTCCAGTTAGCCTTCTTCAACGGACCACTGACATCCCATTTCTTCTTCGGTTTCAACCCATGTGGGAGCGTATTCGTCATTCCCGGCAAAGGAACCATTCCTGGCATTTTCGGAGGCCCACCCATCATGGGTGGAGGCGGCGGTCCGCCCATTCCGGCCATAGGCGGTGGTGGAGGTCCCATACCCGGCATTGGAGGCGGCGGAGGACCGCCCATTCCTGGCATTGGAGGTGGTGGAGGCCCCATACCTGGCATTGGAGGCGGCGGAGGACCGCCCATTCCCGGCATTGGAGGTGGTGGGGGTGCACCCGAACCTGGCATTGGTGGAGGAGGCGGCGCATTGAGGGCGTTAGCCACACTACTGACAACCGAAGGGTTGAGTTTACCCCCGGATTCGGTTGAGGGGCGTGACAACATTTCATATTTCGCTTCGGCTTCGGCTTTCGCACTTAGGGCTTCCTCCAACTGTTTTTTCAAATCATCAATTTTGCCATTATCGATTTCGGCAGGTTTTTCTGAAAAATTCTCAAATTTTATTTCAAGTTAAATTTTTTTCAACTCTTACCTTTTAATTCGTCTAATAAGGATTGTAAGTCCAAATCAAAATGTTTTTTCGTGAAGTCTGGGTCCAAACCGGACTTGTGCAAGACAATTTGTGACACACATTCCTCGATTAATTTAAAGTAAGCTGGTCTAAAAAAAAATTAGTAAAATCTGTACTTTAGTAAAATTTTTACTCACCTCGTGTTAATATCGTCTCTAATAAACAACAAATGTTGCAAAATACTTAAAAAATAAGGCTCTGCGGCAGTTTCTAACGTTGTATTTTTTAATACTTCGAAACAGTCTTGCATATCATCCATATCACACCTAACTTTATCAAATCTTTCGTGTAATTCATCCAAATCATTATCTTTCTGATTTTCAAAAATCTCATACTGATTTTTGATCACCGGATTCGTTTCATTTTTCAATTCGACTAAAATACGAAAAAAATTACAAAAATTCTAATAGATTTCTAAAAACAAAAAGAAACTCACTCAACGTATCATACAATCCATTTCTGACAATTTCGTTTCGCAAATGCATCCGAAACTCAAAATCGTCGGTTTGGGACAAAAGGGCGTTAATAAATTGAAAACACATACTCTAAAAAATAAAACACGAAATAGCACAAATGAGAGGATACAAAAATAAGAAAAAAAAACACCAACCACAAACTTAAAAATACGTTTTTTTGACCACTTTGCCAACTTCATTTTCATACAACAAGCACGCACACAAACACACACACTGCTGGACTTATGGCCCGACGATAAAGTGATAATTTTTTGCCCGATATTCGACAATGGCTGTTTTTGCAGTTTATTTCCATGATTTCGAGCTTCGACCAAAACTTTTCCAACACTTTTTTCGTAAAAATTTAGAAAACTTTTTAACGATTTTCCACAAATTTTCAAGCATAAATAAAAACTAATTCTCTAAATAAGTTTTCATAGTTTTGCAAGAAAAAATTATTTTGACAATTTTCCCGAAATACAAAGACAGAGTGATTCATAAAAGCATCCCCCTCGATTATCATTTTCTAATCAACAACTGGTAAACAAACAGTATTGCCAACTCAAAACAATTAAATTCACCAGATCAGAACTGAAAAGTTACCAGATTTACACCCGTTTTCACCAGTTACAAGAGTATATTATTTATTTATTTTTTTAATACTGTCGAAGATTCACGTTTTTTTACATAAATTTCGAAAAATCTGTTCAAAAACGTGCTTAAAATAGGTAACGCTACTTCATTTAGTCTAATTCTACATTTTTTTGGCTAGTTTTTAATTAAATTTTGCGAAATACTAGTCGACAAAAATCTATTGGCAACTAATCGTTCTAATTTTGTTATATCTGAATGTTTTAGGTGACGGTTAAATCAGCAGTCCCCTTTTGCAAATTAATAATGACAATTGTCTATAAAAGTTTGACGTTTGAATTTGAAAGTCAAGGTTGCCAAATTAAATTTTAAATTTAACACCAAATCATTTACAGCTAGCCGATATTTTGAAAACATGCTAAAACACTTGATAAAGACAAAAATTATGAATTGATTTGATGTTTTTTGGTTTGTTTTAGCAAAATCTTGCAATTAACACTATTTTCAACCATATTCTGTATTTTTTGTCCTATTTTTTTTCACTCAAAAAAAAGCTAAATCGAATGAAACAAACGAAATAACATCAAATTAGATTTATTTTTGTTGTGTTTAAGCATGTTTTGACTATTGTCAAAATCCTGCAAAATAATGAGTCTTTAGTTCAAAAACTTGGACTAATTTAGACTAATTTCCAGCAAAAACTTGAATGTATTTTAAAAACGTGCTGAAACACTCTAAAAATGTAAAAATAACATTAGTTTTGGCTTAATTTGAAACATTTTCGGTTTGTTTTTAACGATATTTTGCAAAACAGTTCTGTTTATGGCTAAAAACATACTAAAACGCTCAGAAATGAACCAAATAATGTACTTTTTTACACATTTTAGCGATTTTTTTTTACCTTGTTGAGTGAAATATTTAGAAAAACGAAACTATCTATCTCTCGATTTTTTAATGTATTTTTGAAACTTTAGCATTTTTGTTTCTGCATGGCTAAAAAAACGTGGAAAATGCTCAAAAAAAATGTATTATCATTTTTGACTAAATTTGCTATGTACAGCATGTCCCCGGATTGAGTTTACAAGAGGAAAAAAAATTATCTTTGATTTTACGCCAAAACTGTAAAAGAAACTTGCTTGAAACCAGCAAATCTGTAATTAAAACTTCATTATTCTAACTCAGTAGAAAGAAAAGTTCATTTTTCTCTTGATTTTGGACTAATTTGAAATAATTTTTCTCTTTTCTCTGCTTTTTAAGTCCCATCACATTGGCGGTTTTATTATTTTGACAATGATGTTACTTTGACAAATGAGTTTACGTAAGTTAAATAAGAAAAATGTTTGTGAAAAACATAATTTTAATAAACAGCAACTCAAATAAACAGCTTTAAGGTAAAAACCAAAGTCATTTTTAAGAAGAATTATTTAATTAATAAATTAATTGTCAAAGTGACATATATCTAGTTGTCAAATAATTAAAACCGCCAATGTGATAGGACTTAAAAAGCAGAGAAAAATGAATTTTTAGTTAGAATAATGAAGTTTAGTGACAGATTTGCTGGTTTTAAGCAAAGCAAATTTTTTTTTCCTTTGCAGTTTTGGCGTAAAATCAAAGATACAAATTTTTTTCCTCTTGTAAACTCAATCCGGGGGATATACTGTATATCAATAATTAAAAACTCAAATAAAAAATTTGGGTAAACACTCAATTTAAAAAAATATTTCAAAACACATGTTTCTACTGTAACTACAGTCACATTTCTAAATCATCAGAAATTAGAATTGATACAAAAAAAAATTTTTGTTTTCACCAAATCATTAAACTAATATAAAAATCACCCGACCTGGCAACACTGTAAACAAAACTCAAATCAACAACTTTGCTACACATGCGCACACGTATCTGGGCCGAAAAAATGGCATTACGTACCTGCAAATCGGCATTATTCCGCGACTTGGTAATCGCATTGACAATTGGCATAAATCTTGGCATGTCTTTAGCATCGGCCACTTTGGTAATGGCCGCCAACATCTTATCAGTACCTAAAGTACTCGACGAATTATCTTCGAGAAAACACAAAGCGGCCAAAATTTTCAACGCTTGAATCATCACTTGTGATTTGGAATGGTCCAAACATTTAGCAACAATTTCATGTCCTTTATCGTACTGTAGAAAATTTTTCAAACCCTCGGTATTATTCATGTATTTTTCTACACATCTGAGACACTCAATTTGAATTTTGTTATCTTTTTCTCGAATTGCCAAATCGAGAATTTTAAAAATCGACCTCATCCCTTGCGAACCAAATTCCCGGACCCAACTTAAGGGATTATTCGTGAGGGCTATCCTTAATGATTCCACACAGGTGAGGATTTTACCCAAATTAACAAAATCCGGTTTCGAATACTGCTCCAAATACGAGATGTAATCTTGCGGTTTATCAAACTTATGACCCACGTCCTGATTCGAACCTTTACATTTCAAAATCAACATTTTTTTCTTCTGATCAAGTGACATATTCGTTAAGGGCATTCTCTTATCACTACTCAAATTCATGTCGTTCTAGAAAAAAAAAATCCTTTAGGGCAATTTTTTTTTGAGGAAAAAATTGTACCAAAAGATCGTCGAATTTAACGTTGATTTCTTTTTCGCTCATTTTATTCACTTGCTCTTCGAATTGTTTGATCGCATTGTCGTCTGCTTCAGAAAAATCGCTTTCTGAATTTGGCCGCAGTGTAGATGACTGCGATGCAGGTCTCGAGCCGGGGGCTTTCTTCGTGCCGCCGCCTTTGAACCATGACTCCAACTACAAATTTTTATTTAAATGTGACGCTTTGTCTTACAAATGCGCAAAAAACAAGTAAAAATAAAGCGAGTGTGACAGTGATTTATTTCGGGCGCAGTGCGGGGGCGGCCCACAAAATAAATATTTCCAAAAATTAACAAAACAAAAAATGAAATGAAAGATTTCAAAGATATTTATGCAAATACTACTTCATGTTTTGCTTTTACAAACTCCTTATGTATTCTTGAAAATCTACAAAACATGTATTTTGGCAAAAATTCTCTAATATTCTTAGGTTTATTTAAATTTTACCTAAATTTTATGGAAGAGTAAACTAACGGAAAAAATTCTCAAACACTAAACAAAAATTGGAAACAATTCTAGTCACAAGAATTTCCAAAAAATTTAAAAAAAAACAATATTATGCTATTTGTATTGCCTTATTTTGATTTTATAGACTAAAGAGAAAAAAATATTCAACACTTAAGACAATGCTAATTTTGATCAAATATTTTCGAAAAATAAAATAAAAACGAGAATCCAAATTTTCTACAAAATATTATTCTCTTTCAAAGGTAGTATTTATACAAATATTTTATGTTTTATCTTTGTAAACTCCTTACCTACAAAATCTACAAAAATGTATTTTGGCAGAAATTACCTTTGTTTTGATTTTATATCTGGATTTTAAAGAAAAGCAAACCTCGAAAAAAATTCAAAACTTAAAATAAGTTGTTAACAATTCTTATAAAAATTTCCGAAAAAAAAAACGAAAAATAAAAATAAAAACGAGAATCTAAATACATATATTCTACAAAATAATATTCTATTTCGAATGTATTTATAATATTTTGTTGTCTTTGCAAACTCCCCGAAATAGGTGAAACGACTCTTGTAAAAGAAAAAAATTCTTGATTTAAATTTACATTTTTTTGGGGTGCAGCCATGTTTGGTAAAAGACTAATTTCTAACAATTTTAATTTTAAAAAATCGAATATTTAAAAAAAAAACTTTTTTCTGTTAAATAAAGTGCTTTTTATCTGGCAAATATGACAAAAAGTTATAAAGAAAAGTTTTTTAGAATCAACATTTAGACCCCTATTCCAAATTTCAAACTCGTCAAAGAATTTTATTTTTCAGTTTTTTTTCACAAAATTTACAAATTTAAAAAATTAAAATGTTTTACAAATTTTTACAAAAAAAAATAAAAAACCATAGTTGGCTGATAATTTTGAAATTTGATATAAAATACTAAATGTTGATTCTAAACAACGTATTTTAATTTTTTTTTTTCATATTTGCCACAAAAAACTACCAAAAAAATAAGTTTTTTGAAAATTTCCACAGCATACTTGATTTTTTAAAACTAAAATTATATTAACTATTAACATTAACTAAGCTAAGCCAAACCCCAAAAAATAAAAATTTAAATCAAGAATTTTATTATACTTTTATTTTTTAAATTTTTTATTTAGTTTTTTTATTATACAGGCAGTCCGGAATGTCGCAAATCTCCGTGACACTATCATTGGGTGATACCCTAAACAACAAGAAAAATGTTTAAAAAAAATATCTATAAAAATAAAAAATTAATAAAAAGTAAAAAATAAAAAGTATGAGAGTATTTTGCACTTTAACTCTATTTATTTCTGTTGGAAGAATAATTTTTCAAGTTTTTTGACTACAGGCTATTAGAAAAGGAAACAAAAAAACTGTATCCTAAAACAATTTAGTTACAAAAGTCTATTTAGTGTTATTTGTAGCTTTTATTGGCAAAATTTTTGTATCTTTACTAAATAATCACAAAAAAAACATATACAAAATCATCAGTATCATTAAATAGACATAAAAAAATGTCAAATGTCAAAAAATAAGTGTCAAAATTTTTAGACAGATAGAATTTTTTAAACATTTTTTCAGTACTCTGGGGGACTACCCAATTACTCCCTTTCAAAGAAGTGCGCGACTTTCCGGACATCCTGTATACTTTTTATTATATAAGTCGTTTCACCTATCCGGAGACACTCTGTATCTTCCTAAAAATCTTCAAAAAAATGTTTTTTGGTACAAATTTTCGATTACTTATATAACATTTTTACAATTTTATGCGAAAGTAGATTAAAGGAAAAATATATTCAAAAAAATGCTAACAATTTTGATAAAAAAAAATCCAAAAAATAAAAAAACGAAAAATAAAATAAAAACGAAAATCTACATTTTCTATAAAATATTATTCTATTTCAAAGACAAATATTTCATGTTTTGTCTTTGTAAACTCCTTATGTACTCCTGAAAATCTACAAAAATGTATTTTGTTATTACCTTTATTTTGATTTTTTCTGGATTTTATGGAAAAGCAGACTAAAGTAAAAATATACCAACACAAAAATTGCTAGCAATTCGTATCAAAAATCACTTAATCAGCGCTTTTCAATCGGTCACCGCTCTCTGCCAATAATCTATTGTAAATTTTTCCACAAAAATAAACACGAATTCCTATTTTATTACAAATTTATATTAATTGACTTAAAGGCAAATTCTTGTGTAATTATTAAATCGTTTTTCGAAACGGGTTGTCCTTGAAACATCTCAAATGTTTAAACAGTTATTTCCAGAAAAGTGATTACGTCCGATTAAATAAATAATAATAACCAATAGAAACATAAATGCTTATCTTTACAACTTTAAAATGAGTTAGTGTTAACACGAAAGGAATTCCACTAACTATTGTTTAATTGTTAAGAAATTTAGGTCTCAATGAAATTAAAAGAACCTTGAGTGTTTTAATTCATTTCACGATCGAGTTCCTCAAGAGGAACACCAGGAAGTGTTTCATTTGAAACGGTTATGTAATTATTCGCAGATAAGAAATAAAAAAAACCTAATCTTACACTTGCAAATATGACAAATTTATTTAATAACAAATTACTCACAAATGTGTTAATCGATGCAAAAGTAATATTTTTTATTGGAAATTACATCAAACGACTTCAAGGTCGGCCGCTTTATCATCTAAACCATGATCTAACATCTGGTTGAGTCTGCAATGTAGCTGAATAAATATTTGTGAAAATTTGAATTTTTTGTCAAAATAAAACATTTATTTTTAAATTCAGTGATTGGAATATTAAAAAAAAACAAATATGTGGGTGAAGTACTTTTGTGAAGGTAGCAGACATTCATTTGTCACGATGATGAGGTCATGGGATAAAAAAGACTTTTATTTATATCTATTTTCTGCAATGTCAATAAATTTTTGAAAAAAAAATATACAGGGTGTTTCAAAATTTTCAACACCAAAAAAAAAAAAAAAAATGTGAGTCGGTAATTTGTCATTCTTACCCAAACCTTGGAATTCCACAAAAAGCAAAAGAAAAACATAATTAAGGTTACAACCGCAATAATAAAGCACAGATGATAAATATTATGACAACCAGTATATTATCAGTTTTTATCATGATCTATTTCGCAAAATATTATCTCTATCTCGATGTTTTTATGAAATATAGTTCACATTATTAAAATATGAGGTAATTAGAACAGAACACTTAATAATTTAATTATTATTTATTAAAATGAAAGTGAAAAAATTGAGGTAGTATTAATAATAATATTCGACCCACTTGACCGATTTTTTCCCGACTTTTACTTCCTTCCAATAACCACAATCGGCTAATTTCCATACTAATGCAGCCCCCGCGTATGAGCCGCCACTGTCACCGATAACAACAACTATTTATAAACATGACATCAAATTGTAATAATTTAAAGCTGAAAAAAGGCACATCAAATACATACATAGGCGTACATCGCTCTATGAAATTCGCACACAAACACTAAAGCAAAAAGGGGGTCACATAAGCCACACAAACACGCGACAATTCTATTTAAATACAGCACAAAACGACGACTGAATTATACTATACTCCTCGTGATGTCATCACTGACATCACTTCAAGTGAGGTCAAAAGGCCCCCCTTCAACTTACGCCAGTGCCTGTTAAATAACGTTTGGTACGTCTCTTAGATTGTCGCAGTTCGAAATCCATCTTATCACTTAAAGACACACTCGCGAATGAGCCCCTCACATTCAACACCTATTTTTCATGATAAGATAATTCGTATTTGCATCTCTTATCAGATACTTACAAAACTTCCAGATTTGGCTTTCTCGTGACGCGACATTTCGCACATGGGGGCTCACTTTGACACAAAAAACAAAAACATAACCTCACTTTTGGCACAATGATTGAAATTTTCAACCGAAATATGACCAATAACACGAAAATTGATCGTTTTTTCGATTATTTCACTGGATTGATGGGCGATTTTGTTTAAAAACGACCGTTAGAAACGTTTTTCGTTACTGTCATGGCGCCAGGTTTGATTTCTAACGAAAAACTACTGGAATGCTTCCGGTTCGGTTAAGAACGTGAAGTTTAGTTTTCACTGTTTGACCTTTGGTTTTTTTTATCGCGGTTTGTGGCGACGGAAAACGGAAATTTGCATATTAGAACCCGCATTTAGAGGTTATACCCGCATCGACTTTGTTGTCATTCGACAGATTCCTGTAATTTAACTAATTTTCTTTTGCGACCAAGACGATACCAACTACTGGGGCAAAAACCCATATTTGTGACATTGGCTTTGATGTAATATAATACATAATTACATAATTATCATAAAAAAATAATGGTCCAAAATTTTGTTATGCAACCAACATTACACGTTATCATTGCAAGTTACCTACACTACTTTATTTAATTACAGATCAAATAAAATTCATTCCACAAAAACATTCCTTGTAATTGGCCACAAAGCCCCAGTTAAGATATGCAGTCGAATTGAAAAAAAATTCAAAAAACTTAATAAATAATTAATATAATCCATTTCATTTAAATTGGCATAACAGTAGGCCATGATTGTGTAAACTGCGCTTTAAATGTAAAAAAGGCTTTACATATTAAGGAACTAAATTTGTCACTAAAAAAGTGAGGTTAAGATACTTAAAATTTTATTTTTAAAGAACCCTCTTTCAAAGGTTTTCAGAGAGAGTTTTTGGATAAAATAATTTGGCGAATAACGAATGCAAATGTCAGTCATGTCAGTTCAATAAACCTTGTAGGTAAATAATCAAAGAAAAACAAAAACCCCATCAGCTGTTATATCAGGGACATGCGCATGGCTACAAACTTAAATACGAAATTCCATAGCCACCTATTATGCCAATTTCAATGAAATATACTTTAAATGATTTTGATGACAAATTACCAAATTTCATGTAAATTTAAATACACTAATTTACACAGGAATAATTAATTTTATGCCAAAATGTAACATTGACAACTACTTTTTTTGAATTTGGCTGTAAATAAAAACAACAGAAAAAATTCGAATTCGGAGCGTTTTTATTTTCAACGAATACGTTGTCACTGACTATATCTGGATGTGGCTAGAGTCACATCACAACGGAAAAACCTGCGTAGCTTTAGACACATAGGTAAATACGCGTGAAAAACAATTTTCGTCCGACCTTCAACTGTTTTAAACTCATTTCCATCGGCGTAACTATGGTTACCATTGATTCCGCACAAATGTACACAATCGAAGATTTTCCAAAATGCACCGATTTTCCACCGTTTTTCTTTTATTTTTGTTAAGTCTGTGCCATTGCAAATATCTAGAAGGTGAAATTCACACCAGTGACGTAATTACAATTTTTTCGCACTCTTATATCCGTTTGCAAATAATTGTTACAGAATTGGGCTTTTCTTGCACGATTTTGCTTCCTATCGGAAGACGGACAATTCGAATATTTTCTTGAATTTAGTGATGAACAAGGAAATCCGAATTTATTGCTGTATTATGATACAGACGACCAATGGCCAGCTGTATACAAAACTAACAAGGTATATAACTTTTAATTAATTAATAATTTTAATTTAATTCGGTAGAATTGTTACGAGAAAGAAGCAGTGCTTCACGTCGAACAAAATCAAATTATTAATTTGACGACAACAAATAGGTTTCTTCAAGAGTTGTCAGGTTGCACGAGCAAACCTAATCCAATTACAACACCCAAACCTAAACCTAGTACAACTTTATTACCGAGGAAAACAACAAAAAGTCGTAAATTGCGACCTACAATTAAAACAACAACAACAACTATTGAATTGCCAACGCCTAGAACCACCCAACTTACAACAACCGAGGATTTAATAAGCGACAACCTGACCACCAAACCTACTACAAAATTTTTCGAAGATTTCAATTACACAACTTTGGATTTAAAAAGCCAATGGGAACACATCGAAATTATAAAAGCACCAATCAAGAAACGTGCCATAAAACCACCTCCCACTCCCCAAATCCGGGGTAATACTATCATGTGTCACAATGCCCGGAAATTCCGGAGTGCACGTGAAAGATGGTGGTTTATAGCTTTGAGTAATTGTAACGGAACGGGAGGAATTCACGTCAAATATAAAATTTTAATGACAAATGGACCACCGGGGGATTACTGGCATGAACATTTCTCCGCTGACGAATTCTGTAAATCCCCCAAAAATTAAATTCCCCTAAATAACAACAATTTTTAGATATACTCCCCGTATTGATGGCATTTTCCATCGCCTACTCGTTCCTGATGTTGGGTATAATAATTTGCTCGATTGAATTAAAATCACGTCAATTGTTACATACAACGTATAAAATTTTCGTCGTTTCGGTTATTTTCCAACTCTTTGGCATTATTTTAACAAGTGCTGCGTATTTGAAATACGCCGTTAACGGTCTAGGGCCGAGTCCGATAAAAAGAGGCGGAGCTATCTTCATGGGCGTGTCTGAAACACTATACATGCTCCTCCTACTCTTACTCGCCAAAGGCTACACGATAACACGTGGCCGACTCCCATTGGCCGCTAGTGTTAAACTTACAATCTTCATGTGTTTGTACGTCGTGACGTACATATCGATTTTTATCTACGAGGCCAATGTATTCGATCCGGGCGAAGTCCTATACATGTATGAATCACCGGCAGGTTATGGACTTATCATTTTGAGGGTTTTGGCCTGGTGTATGTTCGTCTATTCGACGGTTTTCACCCTCAAACATTACCCCGAAAAGTCCAATTTTTATTATCCGTTTAATATTTGCGGAACGATGTGGTTCATCGCTGGACCGGCGTTCATACTTTCGGCCAATTCTTACATCGACAAGTGGATTCGTGAGTCTGTCGTTTGTGCCGTTTTGCAGTTTATCACTTTTGGAGGACATCTCACGTTTTTGGTAAGTACAAATATTCGGACTAAGATACGACACGAAGTAAAACAAAACGTCCCTGTTCTCAATAGTTACGTTAGTGAGGCCAGATAGCGCAGTTATTTCTTTAACATTTTAAGAGCAATGAAATAAAAAAATGACTGTATTTACATAGTGGTGAGCAAAACACAAATAAAAAAAATATAGAAGAGCATTAAATTCTCAATAATAAGAGGTAAAGGTAATGCAAAAATTTTATTGAAAACTACAGCGTGCGCCAGAACTCGCGCCCCAGAGAAAATTTTCAAGTAAGGTAAGATATCAGGAACACCAAAAAAATGTTTAAAAAATTCTATCTGACAAAAAAATTGACATTTGACATTTTTTTATGTCTATTTAATGATACTGATGATCTTGTATATGTTTTTTTACAATTATTTAGTAAAGATACAAAAATTTTGCCAATAAAAGCCACCAATAACATTAAACAGAGTAACAATTTAGGATACAGCTTCCTTGTTTCCTCTTTTAATAGGCTATAGCAAAAAACTTGGAAAATTATTTTTCCAACAGAAATAAATAGAGTCAAATTGCAAAATTTAAACCCTGATAAATCCGAAATTTTTATAGATAAAATATTTTTAATATTTTTTCCGTGTTTCTGGGATCTTACCTTATACAGGGTGATTCTTAAATAGACCGACAAAAACTTATCCTTGCTAGTATCAAATGAGAACATGCTGGATAAAATATTTAAAAAATTCTTTGTTTAACCGTTCTCCAAATAAAATTTATTAAAGTTATTTTCAAGATAAAGCGTACGCCACTAATGTGTTCGTAAATATTAGCACAGGTAGTGGAAACCATGGTATTAATTTGATCAAAATGTACTTGATCATTGCAACAATTCATAAACGCCGTAAGTGGCACGGATCAAGGGGGTTTTGCCCCTACAAAATATAAACGTAAAAAGGGTACAGTTTGTCTCCATTTATACTAGGGAAGCTGTGATAAAATTTTGTCGGTCTATTTAAGAATTACCCTGTATGGCATTTTTCTCTGGGTCGCGAGTTCTGGCGCACCCTGTATATTTAAAGAAATCTCAAACATTTAGCAATTTGCGCCCCTCATAATTTTGAAAATGCTGCGAATACGGTTAAAGGAACAAGAAAAATGTAAAAAAGAAAGTTGTAGAGAATAAAATTTTCAAGCAAAAAGTCCTCGAGGGACACCTCTATCTTCAATGGTCCTAAAGACGTTCAAAGACGCTCAAGTGACGAATACATGTCATTTTTTCCGGTGGTCAAGAGACAGAAAGTTAATTTAAACCTAAACTCTTGACGATAGAGATATGGCCTCGCGGTTTTTTTTGTAGGAAATTTAATTCTCTACAACTTTGTTCCTTACACTTTTTTTGTATCTTCAAACGTATTCGCAGCGTTCTCAAAAATATCGAAAACAGTAATAGTATTAAAAATAAATTATACAGGGTGTTTGTGGATTGCGAGCAAATATTTTAACCACTAAGAGAATTTGTTGTGAAAAGTCGAACTGAAGACCAAACAAATTCCGTATCCAAATTAGGAAACTTTTTGTCCAAAAAAATTATCACTTGTTTACACGTGTCAGTTTAGTTAGTCGTTAATGCGCTTTCGGGTGAATTGTGCACATCGATTTGAAATCAAATTGTCAATCAAGTCAAACGCCAAATTAACTAGTGTACGGACATCACTTCCAAGACCGATTTTCACCAAATGTTTGGGCAGCATCATTGAAGATCATCAAATTGGACCCCACATATTACCTCAACGTTTAACTAGTGCCGTTTATCTGAATGTTTTGCAAAATGTGTTGTCTGATCTGGTGGAGGACGTGCCCTTAGCGGTATTTACAAGTGGACCTACATCAGATTATGCCAAAGTCGTCACCAATAGATTGAACAATCATTTTCCCTAGAGATGGATTGGTCGCCAATGACCACCACGGTCATTTAAATACGTGTGTTTTTTTGGGGGTTCACATGAAACAATTAGTGAATTAATGCATGAAGCTCAAATTTATACCATCGAAGGGCTATGTGACCGAACGCAAGCTTCCCTAGCCCGAAGAGTACAAGAAGTGTGCATTGCCAACGAATGACCACATTTCGAGTATTTTTTTATAATATTGACCCACTAACATTGACTCTGATCTACCCTAATGTAGCGATAATTTTTTTGTCTTTACGCTGTTTACGTTCCAAAGTTTTTTCTTATGAATGATTGTAAACATCGTATTAAAACATAGGCGGGGACGGGTTTTCAGCCTCAATTTATTTTCAATTTTAACTCAAAAATGACGTGCTTTCAACAAAAGTTGGAATAACGAAAGTTGTTTCTTTTGACGAGTCCTATTAGTGGTTAAAATATTTGCTCGTTATCCTCAAATACCCTGTAAATAATTATCAGTTTGCGTTCTGCCCAATATTTTCGAGAACGCTGCAAATATGGTTAAAGATACAAAAAAACTGTAAGAAACAAAATTATAGAGAATAAAATTTGCTACAAAAAAGTCCACCAGAGCATATTTCTATCTTCAACGGTTTAGGTTTAAATTGCTTTAAAGTGTTCCTCTGGCACGGAATCACCAGTAAAAATGAAACGAATCCGTCGCGTGAGCAGCTTTGAACGTCTTTGAAGCCTAAACCATTAAAGATAGAGCGATGGTCTCGGGGACTTTTTACTAAAAAATTTTATTCTCTACAACTTTCTTTCTTACATCTTTCTTGTATCTTCAACCGTATTTGCAGCATTTTGAAAAACATGAAACGGAGCACAGATTTTAAACTTTAAATATTTTTTTTCTCATATTTCTCGTGAAAAATTCAGTCTTTCGTTTTTTACAGCTAATTAAGAATGTAAAGCTCGACATTTTTGCATTTTTTTCCAAGCAATTAGTAAACAGGTTGAATTTAAATTAATTTAAAACGATTTCAAACTGAGACGATAAAACGTTCTAAGCGCCCTCATTTTTACTCCGTCGTACTACTTTTTTTGCGTCCAATAAATCCAGCAATTTTGTATTTCGTTTCGTCTCCTAGTAATTCGGACTAGGAAATTTTAATAGCATACAGGGTGACTCAAACAAAGTGTCTCGGCTCATATCTTGAACAAACAATTTTTTTTTAGATCTTGACGATGCCTTCAGTGGCCAATAAAAATTTCCCCTATCATGTCCGAACCACCCAGATTGGTATAATGGAACTAACCGGAACTTCCGGCAGTAGTACCATCCAACAATTCGGTCATCACGTCTACGAACCATCTGGTACCATTCGTGAACCAGTGATTGTACCATTGACACGTCGTACTGAAGAAATATTTGAAGGAATGTACAATCAACCAGTGCACAATATTCGTAGAGAGAGTTTAAATGAAGATTTGAACAATACGAGAAATTTAATGATGGAAAATGTGATTAATTGGTCACTAGCGAGAAATATTGCAGCTTTAGAAATGCCGAATTTTGAGCGAACTGAGCGCAACAGTTTTGGTATTTTTTGTCTTCTATTATGAAAAGATAAAAACTTGTTTTTCCAGTTTCAGAACATTCAGACAACGAATCGGTTATAACCAGTCGGAGATCGTCAACACAACCGAACGGCCATTTTGACGATTACGTCAGAGAAGTGCCGATTCAATTGTTTACGGTTAGTAAAATGGTAACCGGGAATAATAACAGCAATAATGACACTCCCAATGGAAAAACTGTTTAATTAGCACAAATTTTCTACTTTAAAAAATTGTTTTGGGAATTTTTACGACTCCAGAACTGATAAATAAAGCCATAGAAATAAAATATTGTTTGATTATTATACCAAGTGAAGGAATTTTTACCCACAACCCCCAAAGAAGCTTTCTGGTGAGTGAGTTATACACCGGGTGTACAGGGTGATTCTATTAAAAGAATATTTTAACTTTATATCCACAAAAATCAGCGTTTGCTATTAAAAACTATGTTTTTCTCAATGTATGTGAATTTTTTGCAAAAAAAACAATGGCAATGTTCGACATGGCAACACTGCCACAAAATGTGCCTTACCAAACGAATAAACTTAATTATTTTGTGAAGCTATTGTTTCAAAATGACATTAGAAATAATAAAAATTATTTTTTTGATTTTTTTGTCAGCAAATTGATATTAATTATTACTTTTTAAAAGGAAGAATAGAAAAATTATCAAAAAATACACATGCATTGAGTAAACCACATAATTTTACTTAATTAATAATTAAAGAATTAATATCTGTCTCATTTTTTATTTTTTGTTTTTATTTACAATAAATATTTTTTCACCTCGAATGGTCCCAAAAAATCCTCGCCCTCTCCAGAATCCCCTCCCCGTCTTCCTTTTTCTCGCCCCCCGGTAAATAAATGGGGGTGAATTCCCTGTAGGCCAAACACACCCTCCTCTCCCCAATGTCCTCCCTCAAAATCTGATGCTCCCAGTCGTACCTTGCCGAATTGAACATCACTAATAAAGACCTTCTGGGCATTGGAATCCTCACAACAGGATAAAAACTGTCATTTTGAAATGGTTTCACTTTATAACAACCTCCGGTACCATTCCAGTCTCCTTTCTCGTTCAAAACCGCTGGATATGTCTCAACTAAATTCAAATTATAATAATTATTTTTTCTGTTGTACGTCATAGTGAGCACTGAATCTGATAACAAGTTAACAGTAACAATTCTCTCGCCCCAAATCCAACAATCATCGATGTGGGGGTCAATCGATGCCCCCCTTTGAGGGTCATATTCCAATGAACACTGTTCGATCGTTTGAAAATCTCTCAAAATCGGGACTTCCCGGAATTTCTCTTGGACGAATTCGGAAAATTTCGGAAAACCGGCAAAATCCCCTTCGCGTAATTTATTTCTTTTGAAGTTACATTTCGGACCAAAATTTTGTTTCCTGCGGCCACTTTGTGACGAGTCCCAGGGCATTTCGTCTATACCTTTCATTAATTTTGTTTCTTCTTCCGGTGATAAAAAATCGAGTTGAATGTAGATTCCGGGGAATTCGATTGGGGCACCGTGATGATCCGGATGTTCCGGAGACGAGTCCCAACCCGGAAACGCAACATTACACTGAGGGCAATACACGTAACTGTCTTCTCTCCGAATCGCGAATTTTTTCGCCGACAACCCAAAAGTCGATTCACAGATGAGACAAGTGCGACAGCCCTTGCACCCACAGGGACGAGGTTTATCCATTTTAGAAGAGAAATTTAAAAACTTGTTACTGCGACTTAACCTCAAAAATTCGATGACAGCTCAAATCGGACGCAACGTCCAGTAACCTGGTGGAGGGTTTTAACACAATTTTTTGTGTTTTAATTAATTAGTATAATAAATCGGTTAATATTACATCAGTGGCTCATCCTTCACCCAATTTAATTATTTTACAATACGTAAACCACTTGAAAACTCCAAAAAGTGACACTAATCGACGCTACGTTCTGTATGCTGAAAATCCCAGTTGTTAAATTTCTCAACATAACCTCACAAATGACAATGTAACCGGTTTTTCCCCCATTTCCGGACACGATGAAGCCACGAATCACCCTTTACGACTATTTACACAAACACTGGCTTCTTGTGGGTATTCTAACTTGTATTTTTTTCGCCGGGATTTACCCCGAATTGGGGTCGAAAAACGGCCCCCTACATACCGAATATTCGGTAAAATACGGGGCTGTCACTGTGATTTTCCTAATAAGTGGGATTTCTCTCAAAACTGAGAGTATTTACGAGACATTCCAGCAACACAAATTGCATTTATTTATTCAAGGTTTCACTTTTGTTTTTATTCCAATTTTTACACAAATTTTTGTTAAAATATTGAATTATTTTGGGGTGAACCCGTGGGTGTTACGAGGGTGAGTTTTACGTTGAAAAAGATTTCTAAAAGTCGTTGCAGACTTGTCACTGTAGCCTGCATGCCCCCCCCTGTCTCAAGCGCTGTGATTCTGACTCGAGCCGCCGATGGTAACGAAACTGCGGCTATTTTTAATTCAGTCCTTGGAAGTTTCCTAGGGGTTGTATTCACACCCATACTGTTATTAATTAACGTAAGTTACACCAATGTTTTAACCCCCATTATCTCTTTTTTTTTAGTTGGGCTTCACGACACTTGTGCCCCTTTTGGCCACAATAATCCAACTGACAACCACCGTCCTCATCCCCCTGTTTTTAGGCCAAATCATTCGGAATTTCACCGGATTCCGGGGGCACACTCTACCCCTCAACACAATTGGCCAATGCGCCCTCTTGTTCGTGATTTACACGACTTTTTGCGACACTTTTGAGACCCCCGAACACCACTTGAGCGCCACCGACGTCCTCGCCAGTGTTTTCTCGGTTTTGTTAATGCAAATTATTTTATTGGGGCTCAGCCATGCGATAGCCCAATGTTTCCAGAAACATTTCACCATTCAAGACGTTATCACAATTATTTTTTGCTCCACACACAAGTCGCTCACTTTAGGTTTGGTAAATAAAAAATTATAAAAATATGAGACTTACCGAACGTTTCAGGAATCCCGATTCTACGAATTTTGTTCCACGGATACTCCCATTTGAGTCAAATCAGTCTCCCATTGCTGGTTTATCACCCAACGCAGATTATTCTAGGGGGGCTCATTGTCACACAGCTGAAGGATTGGGTGCAGCTCCATAGAAGCAAGCGGCCCCCGGTTTGAAACCACCACGAGTCTACTATTTATCTATTTATAATTTATTTATTGTTACAAAACAAATAAACGACTAATTTTAACTTAATTAACGTGTTTTGTTGCAAAACAGATTCGAAATTTCGACATTTGACAGTGAAAACAGGGCCACCAACATCTCAAATTTAAATATTTTAGTTGGGCAAAAGCGAAAAAAGCCGCAAAAGTTTACTCATAATCATCTCATAATTTACCTAGCGCTCATCCTGTTACCATTTCATAATTTTTTAAATGTGTCCACTGTATTTTTATTATAAAAACACAACAATAATGTGTCATCACTCGAACTAGTGGTAGAAACTTTGTTAGTGTTTAATAAATTATAAATCACAATTACATAAGCATTAAAGTCCGTTTCATTAATATTTTACGTACACTTTTGTCATTTAGAGATGTCAAATCCAACAAAACCGTAATTTGAGTTGTGTATTTGAGATCAGTTGTGCCAACATGACTCAAGCAACGCCAATAAAAAAATTCTCCCTTTAAAATCGCTTTTTTGGTCATTTTACGCGATTTTCAAAGTGAGTTTCATACTTAGTATTACCATTTGTTGTTTAATTAGTCAAAATACTCTGGTATTTTGTGTAAGTGGTGCCAACCTCCACGCCGACCTGACGCAAAACTCTTCAAAAACAGCCTCACGAATTGCAAAAAAGGTGAGTACACCTTATAAATAATCAATTAGGTCACAATCCCACCCAATAGTGGGCTTAAGTTGCTTGAAAATTGTACCTTGCAACCCTAACCTCACAATCAAAGCCCTGGTTTTAAACTTTTTATGATTTTTTATTTTCGTTGTTTTGTCATTACGTACATTTAAACCGTCTTGGTAGGTTGCGGCGGCTCGATTTTCTCGAGCGGTGCTATAACCCCACTCGTCTTCTTCTTCGGTTTCCTCCTCTTCTTCTTCAACAGATCCCCAGGACATATCTTCGTGGTCCCCTTCCTCTTCAGCTTACAGGGATCATCGTCTACCTCTTCCCTGAGCGTCGTCATGTCGATTTGGGGGCACTTCGTCTTATCCTTTTTCCCCCCGCCGCTCAAATTGTACTCCTCAACAACTTCGATGGTATCGCAAGCCTTGTCACTAGGGGGGCAATCCCGCACTTTCGGTTTGCGGCGTTTAGTGGGGCACCTTCCATCTTGATCGGTACGGGAGATTTTTTGATTACAACATGGGAATTTGAATTTGGGGATCTTGCAAGGTCCTTGTCCGGGGTCTTTGGGTTTGTTAGTTTTGAGAGAGATCTGGGGGACATCAACTGGTTCGAAGACTGCACCGTCGAGGATGTTATTATCGAGAATCGCACATTCCTGTTTCGGTTTCGGTTTCTTTTTCTTCTGTTCTTTTTTTTTGTTTTTGGGTTCGGGACACCGTCGGTTTTTCGGACGCTCACATGGGGGCTACAAAAATGAGCTAGAGTAGTTCCAAGTCCGGGTAAAGCGACTCATACCTTACGCAAATCGCACAACATTTCGTCGTTGGTCTCAACGAGGGGGTCCTCATTCAGGGGCAAGTCCATTTCAAGGCCGCTCCGACGCACCATCACTAGACTACTAGTGTGGAATTTCTTCTTCGAGGGCTTGAAATTGGGGTTTTCCTCCGGCTTCCAGGGACACATCTTACACGACGAAGGCTTTTCGTCGATTTCTTCGTGACAAAACTCGCTATAAGCCGGGTAGGGGGCTTCCTGCTTTTTGCAGTCAATCTATAAACGACACCATTATTATTAAAAAACTTTTATTGGGCCAAAATTGTTACAAAATCATAAATCTTTCACCTACATGTTTGGCGAAACGGTCGCAGCGAGTGCGTGCGGGGGCCGGGCAGTTGTTCAGCTTCATTTTGGGGCAACCCTTCTTGCCTTTGCCCATTTTCTTGCACTTTTCCGGGTCGGTCCCCACCGTCTTCGAGTACCAACGCCTCACTTCGGTAGAAAACGAGCGAAAAGTCGACGATTTATTCGCCATTTGTTCGTTGTGTTGTTTCTGACTCCGGGCCTCCGCCAGCATTTGTTCGGCCTTTTCGTCATCTGATACGGTCCTGGACATCATCATTTTCACCGGCTCGGGGAATGGATTTGCAAGCTTCACACTTTTCAAGGGCAAAATCGCGTTGGCGTACGTTTTTGACACTTGGAACCTCCTGAAATCCAAATGGGGTGAAAAAAATTATTTAAAATTCGATTTTAATGCCCACCTGGGATTTTTGGGGTTCAAGCCCTTGTTGATTCGGCCCTCTTCGGTGTGTTCCGGGTCCGGATTGGTCAAGACGCTCTTTTCCATCGTTTTTTGGTAATATTCCGGAAGCATGGATGGTTGTAATTGTTGTTCTTCAATGGCGGCTTTCACGTTCTGTTTTTGGAGGGCCATGACATCCCCGGCCGAGTTGGGTCGTTCGACCGGACTAGTCCGGGGTTGGCACACATTGTACCGGAAATTCTTGGGTTGTTCTTCCGGTTTTGTCTCCTCCTTAGCTTCCGGTTGCCGACTTGCCGGTGTCATCTCGAAATTAAACGAGAAAAGTCTACGAGACTTGGGGGAATGTCAAAATGGGGGATTTTGATATTGGGGGACTTACATTTTGGAGTACATTGCTGTTAATTTTGGAAAATACGCTTAGAGCTGAGGTTTTCATCGTGAAAATCAATGGTCGGAAAAACTGTTTATAAAAAAAATGACAAAACAACACGAATAAATAAACAGTGTCATGGAGACGAGGACAGGGCACTCTCCTTGAAAGAATTTGAGAGGGAGAGGGAGAACAAGCCTACTATTGTTCCAATTATAATGAAACAAATTTTCTTAAATAATTAATTTATTTAATCAAATATTGCCATATTCCCTTATGAACCCTCTTAGTTCAAAAACGTTGGTGTAAATCCCGGGGAATCCCGGCTGTGCGCAGTCCATCCCCGCCGACACAATCCCGTATAAAACCCCATTGACGACAAATGGCCCCCCTGAGTCCCCCTGACACGAATCCTTGCCCCCTTCCAAATACCCGGCACAGAAGAGTCTCGGTGTCATATCCCCCGGATACACCTTTTTGCACTTTTGCCAATCCAACACCGGCGCTTCCACCTCTCTCAACTCATTCGAAAAACTCTTCGCGTTATTGGAGAACATCACCCCCCACCCACTCACAACCCCCACCATTCCGACACGAAGCGGTTGATCGAGGCGTGGCAAAGCAACGGGGCGGATTTTAGAAGTGTAGTAGAGTGAGCAGCGGAGGAAGACAAGAGCGATGTCGTAGTCGACGCCGTTTGAGTCGTACTTAGGGTGGATTTGGGCGCGATCCACGTGGACTACTTCACCGGCTTCCTTGAGGGAGGTGATACCGGCTTTGATGGAGTAGGCGCCGGGACGGGGGAAACAATGGGCGGCGCTTACGGCGAGGGAGGGACTGATGAGGGCGGCGCCGCAGATGGGGCGGGAGTTGAGGCGGAGACTGAGCTGGTAGGGGATGGCGGTGATGGGGATTGGGCGGCCGCCTACTATGCGCATAGAAGTCTCTACAAAATATTTAAAATTGCGTTGCCAGTTTGCAACTTAAACTTAACTTCTTAACTATTTAAAAATAAAAAATAAAATTATAAATTATTTAACTTCTTATACAATACTATAGCCACCCTTTACAGGGTGTCAGAACTCGCGCCCTAGAAAAAAGTTTCAAGTAAGACCAAGAATCTGTTCTTTTTTTCCTCTTTTTCTTTTTTCTATAAAAACTCTTAAAAAAAAAACTATCTGTCAAAAAATTTTAACATTTGACATTTAAAGGTACAAAAAAATTGCCAAAAAAAAGCTACAAATAACATTTAACAGAGTTACAATTTAGGATACAGCTTTCTTGTTTCCTCTTTTAATAGCCTCTAGCAAAAAAAAACAACAGAAATAAATAGAGTTAAAGTGCAAAATTGAAACTCTCGTAACTCCGAAATTTTTATAAATAATTTTTTTTTCATATTCCTGGTTTTTACCTTACATAGCATTTTTCTTTGAGACGCTAGTTCTGGCGCAGTCTGTATAAACACTGAAACCAGGAAAATGTATTAAACTATCAAAAATTGAAGCTAGACCAAGAATTAAAACTGTTGAAAACAAAAACAATTAAAATCCAGGGTGTTTTCTTAATATAGCAAAAAATTGCAGCCACATTTTCTACATCGAAAAATAATACTAATTTGTAAAATAAACGATAGCCCCAATATACAGGGTGATAAAGTTTCATAATAAAATGTAAAATACATTTGTTTTTGCGAAACCACTTGAGTTATTTTCATAATATTTTTCAAGCTCTGTGAGCCATTAAAAGGGCTTATTTTTCAGCAATTTGTTTATTTTTACTTTTACCAGTGACGTGCGTATGAGCATTTAACTTTTTCTTAAAATTTTTTTATTAGTTTTATTTTTCGATGTTGAATATTTGTTGCAATTTTTCGCAATATTACATTGCATTATACAGGATGATTTTTAAACAAGGGTAGGCACTGTAGAATTTTTATTTATGGCCCGATTTCAAAAATTAAAAAAATAAATGAAATGCCTTTTAATGTAGTATAAGCTGACAGTTTTAAAATTTTTATAAATGTCATAATACAGTCTATCTATCAAGCAATTATTTTTCCAACAGAAATAAATGGAGTAGATTCAAACTCTCATAACTTCTAAATTTTTATAGACAGAATTTTTTTAACATTTTTTCCATGTTCCGGGTATTTTACCTTACATTTTTCTCTAGGGTGCGAGTTCTGGCGCACTCTGTATACAGGTTGATTCTTGTAAAGTCTATATTACAAACTTTGCAACATCCACGGCTTTGAAATTTTGAACCATTCTTGACTCAAATAAATTATTTTCAAAATGTCTGAACTTAAAAAACTGAGAAATTGGCGCCAACTTTAAAATTTTAAACGGAAACCACCCATTTAAAATCCCCTAAGGTGGTCAACACTATTAACTGTCAAATTTCAAAACTAGTATGACTTTAAAAAAATGATGATCCAAAAACTGCTATAATTCTGTTTCCTCAACGGCAATCGAAAGAAACAGATTATCACAAGTTTTATGAAAATGTTGCGTTTCTGAGCAAGAAATGTTTTCTTGGATTACGTGTATATTTATTTTTTTCTAACTTAAAATCAATTTCAAAATTTTAAATTATATGGTATGGTATTAGTAGATAATAATGGTATTTAGATTCATTATACCCCCAAAAAATCAAGTTTATACAGGTGATTCAAAAGTGTCGGACCATCTCTTGGGTGATAACTGAGTTTAAAGTTCCCATGAGAAAAAATTGTTTGGGCCTTTTTTCACGAGATATAGCTCTTCAAAGATTAGATTTTGAATTAAGGTTTTGGGCGTTTCGATTATGTAATCTTGAATTTAATTAGCGGAAACAGCAGATTTTGTAAGACTCAACAGATTTCACCAATTTGTATCTTATGATGTAAAAAACATTTAAGAAACTAGCAAATTCAAATTAAATTAAATCGAAGAACATCGAAAACAAAAAAACTAAGACGCCTAATATGAAAATTGACAATTCTGTAGTTTTCAAAAAAAAAGCAAAAATCTGAATTCATTTATATGCTTAGCTAAAAGTCTTCTATCACCATTCGAGAGTTGGTCCTTTTTCATGTTTTGATACATCTAAAGAGCGAAATCTTTCTCCAAAAGTAAAAAAAAATATTATTATTATTATCAAGATTTTTGGTGAAATCGTTTTTTTTTTTTTACTTTTATGGGACAGATGAATTAATAGAATAGTTAATTAGAAAAAAGTGTTGTGGGGGTGCAGATAAAACTTGGTTCACCTAGTATATGTATAGTATACAGGGTGTTGTTTTCTTATAGTGTTGCGAAAAATTGCAACCACATATTCTCCATCGAAAAGTAACAAATAAGTGATAGTCCTATAAGGCTTCGTTATACAGGATGATAAAATTTCATGATAAAAATTAAAATCCTCCGTTTTTTTAATTTTTATTTCTTATATTAGTGTGATTCATTTTCCGATGTAGAATATGTGGTTGTTTTAATAAAACACTCTGTATTGTCAAAAAAGGCGGGAATTAATCGTAGTTTGAAATTTGTTCCTCTAAATATCGGATTTGGGTGCGTTTTTGTCATAATTAAAATTTAAAAAACAATGAAAATAGAAATACTTACTTGCGATAGCCGGCACCAACATTACCAATAGATACACTTGCATAACAGCGTTCATTTGTTTTGACATAATTACGTCCACTGTTATCAAAAATGTGATATGAAATAAAGTAAAATGTAGCTCATGCAGCACATAAAAGGGGAATAAAAGCTATCAGAAGCGTGTCATCGGTAGAAAAACAATTCCATTGTTACACTTAACATATTTATTATAATCGAGAAAGGTAAAAAAGGGATAAACAACACAAAACACAAGTCTTGAACGTTAAAACCGAAGCAAACAAATGCTTGATAATATCACTGATTGAGATAAAATGTACGAAAATACATTTACTTTACGAGAATCACAGGTATTCGAAATGAAGTAGGATACGCACGAGCCACCTTCGCGATTTTTTTGACTAGTCTTGAACCTTATAATAATAATAATACTACCGGTGTGTGTAGACGAGGAGCAAGTTGTTGGGTTGTTGGGACTCTATCCCCTACCCAACACTTGCTCCCTATAGCTAGTTAAGAGTGCCAGACATTACATAAATATACCACCCTATTCTAATAAGGAAAATTTTAAAACTAATCATCCGATCGTCGGTTCTTGGTTACGGCGTGCCGTGGCCCTTCTTGTTCTTCTTCAACGAGATATCGTCGACGTCTTCGCCCTTCTTCACTTCGGTGAATCGCTCCCCTTTCAGACTCACAATCTTGTTGTCGCGATAACGGACGAGTTTCTTCGGCTCCACTTTGGGGGCCACCGGACGGTGCTCCTTGGTGAAGGCGTCCTTGTCGATGTACGAGTACCGCTCGATGATGCGGTTCTTCAATTCTGCATCGTCGATTGTGGTCTTGTTCACGTGGATCGTCAATGAGTTGTTTTGGTTGAGGCATTGACCGTTTTCTTGACGGTCGATGAGGATCTGAGTGGCGCGCTCGATGTCCCCACTGGCGATCGCCAAGCAATGCTTCACCTTCGAAACACACCAATCAGACAACGAGGGTCTTCATCCTGAGCACAAACTACACTAATACATTCGACGAAATTTTCACATTTTTTGACACCCCTTGTACATTGTCAACTTCAAACGAAACTATGAAACATAAAGCAGCTAAAAAAGTTGTAAAAGTATAAAGAATGGAAATGAGAGATTTAAGAATTAAAGATCAAAAATGAGAAATGTTTTGGCAAATTGGAAGGTAATAAAACTGAAATAAGAAAGAGGAAATATTTAAAATATCAAAATATTAAAGTGAGAGCAAAAATACACGCTAATAGAAACTAGAAATTTGAGTAAGGATTGTGAAAGCAAATTATAGAATTCTAAAAATTATTGTAAAATTTGTAAAAAAAACTACAAAATTGGGAAATAAAAACAAAAAGCAGAGAACTAAAAAAACTCAAACTAGAAACACCGAAAGTTAAAACCAGAAAAATGTATTAGTAAACTATCGAAAACTGAAACAAGACGGAGATTAAAATTGTTGTAAACAAGTAATTAAAATACAGGAAAACAATAAGATGATAAAGTAAAAAGATGGAAAAAACAAAACACAACAAACAAAAAGTTAAATAAGATAGATACAAGAGTGAATAAAAAAATATTAAAATACAGTAAAATTGTAGCCACATTTTCTACATCGAAAAATAATACTATATTCGGATATAGAGGGTGGTAAAATTTCATGATAAAAAGTAAAATCCATTTGTTCCTGCAAAACCACTTAGTTATTTTCATAATATTTTTCAAGGTTGAAAGAGCTTATTTTTCAGCAATTAGTTTATTTTTACTTTTACAAGCACGTCACTGGATATTTTAATTTTTTTTATTTTTGTTTTTCTATTAGTTATTTTTCGATGTTGAATATGTGATTGCCATTTTGTACAATATTACATTACATAATACAGGGTGATTTTTTAACAACGGCAGGCGCTGTAGAATTTTTATTTATGGCCCGATTTCAGAAATTAAAAAACTAAATTAAATGGCTTTTATCCTTCGACACTGTCAAAATTTACGGTTTTTCTCCTGTGTAAGGAAGTTTTGACAACTGTTTGGCATTTTTCAATACGAAACGTCAGTTTATTTTTAACAGATTTAAAGCAAGTTTAAGCCTTGTTGACTCTAATTCGAAGAATAAAATGTTGTATTCAACTCGTTTGAGTGTAAATCGGTCGCTTTATTCCACTCGTTACACTCCTAAATCCACTCGGTCAAATAAAGCGTCCGATTTACACTCAAACTCGTCGAATAAATAATTATTAAATTAATAGTAGTATTAATTATTATTAAATAATAGTATTAATGTAGTATAAGCTAACAATTTTAGAATTTTTATAAGTGTCATAATACAGTCTGTCCATCAAACAAACCTAAAAATTTAAAACATGTGTCTGCAGAATATTAAATGTCACGATGAGAAATGTCAAAATCATTTTATGTAAATTATCACACGAAACCGTAGTACAAGATTTGTAAGAATAATGCCAACAACATCTCCTTCTAGAATGTTTTGAGACTTTTCTTAGAATAATTCAATTTGCTTATATCAATATTTAAATTTTATTAAGTTTCATAAAATATTTTTTTGATATCTAGCTGACATACATACTGCTACGCCTACATGATAAAAAGACTATTTGATCGCACTATCATGGTGTCCCAGCGAGTTAAAAAAGTCCATTAGTGACCTTTAAATGGTAAATTAAAAAAAATATGTAGGACATTGATAGATACTAAAATAGTCCTTCGCCTAAAATTTATTTCAACTATATAGCATGTCTCAAAAATAAGTTACGATATAAACTTGTGTTTTTTTAAGTGAAACACCATGTTTTCTAGCGTCTTTGGATGTAGCTTTTTATTACAACGTTTTGAAGCTAAACTTTTATTGGTCGATTTTGCTTAGTTTTAAAAACAAGTTAGTTTTTTTGACGAAAACATGCACTTTTTAAAAATTTATTACACAAAAACTAAGACATCTAGAAATATTTTTTTTACTACCGCAAAGAAGAAGGTACAAGCTATAAGGTTGTAACATTTTTTCAGTGTGTTGGATTTGCAAAGATAAAAAAATGAAGTCGTTTGTTAAAAGTTCAATAACTTAAAAATTTTTAATGGAACACCCTATTTGTTGTTTTTGCATTTAAAAGATTATTAAATTATATTTTTAAAATTATTTACTTTTAGAAGTTTATAATCAATAACTAAAAAGATATTTACCGTTAAACATTAAAAAAAATAATTACTATTGTTTCAGTAGCCAAAAAGTGCACAGTTGCACAATAAGAGATGGAAGAAATATCACTTAATAATCACATTTGTGTTAAACTAAATCCATTATTCTTTATTTTTGCAATAAAATAATTCAAATTTCAGTATTTATAACGACTTTTACAATCTCCGGATAAATCAACGGATAAGTGGTTGCCATAGTATCAACAATGCTCAAATATTGATAGGCTTTGTTGCTACAATGAATATTAAATGTTAAATATCTTTTTATTTATCAATTCTAGACATTAAAAGTTATTTTTTTAGATTGATAATTTATCAATCTATTAGATGCAAAAATAAAAAATAGGGTGTTCTATTTAAATTTTTTAAGTTATTAACCTTTTAACAAACTTCTTAATTTACTAATCTTTACAAATGGTATTTAAAGTAAACAAAATAAGTAAATTAATTAATGACACTATATTTGATGTTTTTCTAATTTGTTACACGTAATTTCTTATTAACAATTTGAAAAAATATTGTCAATATTTTCTTTCATTTGTTGTTTTTTGAATTAGAATAATGGGATTTATTTAACACCATGTAACCAGATTTTATTAGCTTCCATTTTTTACAATGATATTTTTTTAAACAATAATTTCTAGTAAAAGTGAAGGATATTGCACATGTCTATACCAAGAAAACTCATCGTTCAAAATGATGAAGAAAAAAATTCCAATATAATGTTAGAAAGTTAAATGGAGTCCAAAATATACTAAGGGCCAGTTTCATAATCGAATTAAAGGGATTTTAAAGATAATGTTGGTTTAGAATGTGAAATTTTTGTCAACAAGGCCCATAGTAATCAACACATTCTAAAAAACATTTAATTTAATACTTCTTTAACTTCAATTATGAAATTAGCATTAAAACATTTAGAAAAATTCTAATATTGTGAGCTTATACTACATAATAAATAAATAAATAAATAAATAAGAAATGTATAATAAATATGTAATAAGTACAACTTTATGATTCTTGCGCCTAATGTAGGCACCCAAATATACAAAAGTCACAAAATGCTAGATACAAAAAATACAAATTTAATTATTTAACTTTTGGAAACCCATGACAGTAGTTGCCAAACTAATCACTGTTTCATTAATAGTCATAAACTGCAGTTTTTCAGAAACAATTATTATTTGTTCTATCAAGAGACGGCCCATGAATATGATTCTACTTTATCTATTTTAATCACTAACTAACTTAAAATGTTGTAATTTTTTAAAGGGTGAACAAACTAAAAAAAAAATCCAATTTTTCAAAATTTGTCGAGTTCGTATTAGAATATGTAATATTAATTGCATCTTATAGGTGCAGATCTCGTAAAATTATGTGAAACATAATAAATGCCATTTAATTTATTTTTTTAATTTTTGAAATCAGCCCATAAATAATATCGTGCCTGACGTTTTTTAAAAACCACCTGTACCTATTTTAATTTCATTTTATTTTAGTTTAGACTGTTTACCAGCGATTTTAAGTTTTTTTATTTGGATTATATTTGTTCGAATTTTTGTTTTAGTTCGTTTTTGTTTTTAAATCGTTATATTATGGAAATTTTGGTTTTTGTTTAATAAAACTGACTAACAAACCTCAATGGAGCAAACGTGGGGGAACATCTCCTGCAAGACGTCGATTTCGTCCAAGAAATCGCAGCAGGAGCTATCCGTGGAGCCCCCATCGCTCATTTCCGACAGCCTGTGTACTCTTTTGGGCAAATCAAAGCTGTCTCTGTTGTCCAACTGTCTCGGTTTCGTCTTGGGAACGATTTCCGGTAGGGAAATCTCAATCACGGACTTCTCTTCCGGTTCCTCCACCCTCAATTTCGCCGCCAACTCGAATATCCACTGACAGACAGTCGCGTGATTGATCGATTCAAATTCGGGGAAGTACGCCGACATCATTTCGCAGAAATCTGCACTTTTCGGATTAAAAAAAAATAATAAAAATTGGGAATTCACCTTCGACGCTGAAGACAGGGTCCGAGCTGACGTCCTCAAGGATTGCAACAACATAAGACAGGACGATATCGTCGATGAGAGACAAGTCGGCGTTAGTTATGTGTGTCTTGACGAACTCGAAGAGGGAGTCTTTGATGGTGATTTCTTGGTCGGCGATGGCTTTTTGGGACATTTTTCACTGGAAATGAGTGGAGTTCGCCCCGGAATCAGGGAAAAAAGGGCTGATTTTGGGGGAGGTAAGTTTTGGGTTAAAGTGACGATCCGAAGGCTGATTTGGGAGGTTATCAATGAAACTTGACTTTTTGTACCTGGAACGTAGAGCTGGAGGTCCCACTTTTACTCGTTTTCCGAAAAAATCGGATATTTTTGATTTACTCAAATTAATCAATAACACAACAAAAGTGACGGAGTAGGGGGCACCACCGAACGACAAATGTCAAACACCAAGAAACCTTAAGCTTATTTGCGTATTGGATATAATGGGCATTTGCAATAACGTTGCCAACCTTTAGTTATTTCCACTAGATCCCATAGAAATATCAAATTGCTAAGAGCCGGTTAAAGGAACAATAAAAGCTAAGATTTTCTTTTATTTGGATTTTCAAAACAATTTTCAATATTTTTTGTAGTAACAAAGTGGAAACATTACAAATCGCCTTATTTTGGTAGAAAACAACCAAAAAAATCTCTTTCTCAAACCGGCTCTCTACAATTGGATATTTCTGTGGGATCTGGGGAAAATAACCAAAGGTGGTGCTTTTTCGGACTTAATCCTTTACCAAATCGCCCCAAATAGGGGCACTTCAAATTTTGTTTATTCTCACGCATTTCTCGCTTAACTTTTTAATGGGTGGTTTAATGGTTTTAAATACTTGCGCATTTGGTCCTATAATCTCGAGGATCCCTTAAACACTCCCATTTTTTTCATTGTTTGATTATAGATTACAACATTAAACTAATATTGTCTTTATTTTATTAAGTAAAAAGCCTTGAATGATTTTTTTTCTCAAAGTTAAACAGGTGTGACGGGTGGCCACCTGTCATACATTTCCGTACTTCCCCTTGCGCCACTCAAATCATCACAAAAATCAAATTAATTATTTTTCACCATTATAATAACACGTTTCCGTTTAATTAAATACTGAAATTAAAGTAAACTTCCGTGTTTTTTTTTCACATTACGTGATATAAATAGGCGACAAAATTGCCGATTTAGTCATAAAAATGTTGCGTTTCGTGTCATTCTTGTGTCTTTTCCTCCTAGTGCAGGTAACGGTTTGTTTTCAAGTCTCGTTGTGGGTAATTTGTGTTTCTAGGGTGAGGTTTTGGAGATGTTCAATCCGTCAAGTTTGCAAAACTGTATGAAAAAACTGAGCATCGGTGAAGATGAATGGGCCCAAGTGTTACAAGACAAGCCCGAAGTTCCGCCCGAGAAGATATTGTGTCTTTTCAAGTGTGCTATGGAAGATGATGGGCTTCTCAAAGATGGCGTTTTGGACAAAAGCAAATGGCCGATGCCCGATTGTGTGCAAAATGTCGGCACAATATCCAACTGCACTGATATGGTCGCATTTAAAGATTGTTTTAATTAGGATTGATGAAAAAACGTGATAAACACTTATAACTTTTATTAATCTTGTACTTATTGTCAGAACATTACGTTTAATAAGGACACAGAATTGACTCGTTCCTTAGACCTACAACAAACATTTACAAAGAAAAATAACAGACAACCTTCTTACTTCAATTAAATTTATTCAATCACACCAAACTAAACAATTTAAAAAATACTCAAAGGCAGATTTAGGACATTGAAAACAAGAAAAACTATCATCACAGGCTATAAAAATGATACAAATTTTTCAACAAACTAATAAATTACTAAGATTCACCGTCATTTATCTTCCTTCCACTCGACGCCTCCTTCCAAATAAAATTTTTGAAACGATTTTAATCACAAGCACGCCGACAAACACCCGGTATTTTTTTGGTTAATTTTATTTTTTAAAACACACTGAACATCTGTACATAATTTCATAAATCTAACTAAATTTATTAATTACTAAGCGCTAAAAAACTCCGGATCTGTGTGAAACTTTCGCCCTCATCGAGCTTGTTACTCTTAAACTATTGTCCTTAATAAAATCAGACTTTTGCTTATACCTATGGACGAAATTCTTCCACACAGAAGCGACTTTTTATCCGGTGGACTGTCTTTTGAATTTTTTTGCAACTACTTATCTAACTCAGACCCCTGGGAGGCTCGATAAAAAAGTACTCCAATTCGTATCTCCTACAACGAATCCCCAAAACATTTTTTTCAGGCAAACTTGGCAACCCTGACTTACATTTAAACCGGGGTGTAGTCTCCCTTTGGTGTATACCACCACTGCCCAGTCACCGCACGCCTCATAATCTCACTTCCAAGAAGCCTCTTCTCCTTCTTAATTTTCTGCAAAACGCCCTTATTCTCGTGGGCTCTCCGCGACAAATAGGGCAAAACTTCGTTTACGGGACCATATGGTATGTACTTGTAAGCAGAATACCCGGATTGACCTTGAAAAATAAAATTTTAAAATGGCGACTTTCCTACCGACTGCACCAATTCACCTAAAGGAAACGTGATATAATCACACATGGCCAGTAATTGACCGAAACAGATCACTTTATCTTCAGGTTCAATTCCGAATTCTTTCATTTTTTCAATGGCAAAACGTACAGTATCTTCGTTGTGCGATGCCACCATAATGGCGATCTTCTTTTCTTCTCCTAAATCTTTGAATGCTTTGATTCGTCGCAGACATTCAGTGAGGGTTTTGTGGTACATCTCGGACGTAGCCTCGAAATTGGGGTTGGTGGGGTCGGGGTAGCCCAAGGCGGCGGCGCGGGCCCTTTCCTATATTGGGGTAAAAACAGAAAATTGACTCAACAAATGACCAATTTCATCACTTCAAAACAAAAACCCAAACACAGCGAGTTGATTAGTGACCTCTAAATGGTAAAATTTCAAAAAAAAATTATAGGACATTGATAGATACTAATCTAGTGTATCACCTAAAATTATTTTCAACCATACAGCATGTCCCAAAACTAAGATACAAACTTGTGTTTTTTTAAATAAAACACCGCCGTGTTTCTTGGCATTTTTGGATGTAGCCTTTTAAAGCAATGTTTTTAAGCTAAACTTTTATTAGTCGATTTCGCTTATTTTTAGAAATAAGACGTTTTTTTTTGACGAAAACATGCACTTTTTAAAAAATTATTACACAAAAACAA